TTGAAAATATGATTGCATAGGCAGCGAACTGGCATGCCAAGCGAACGAACAGTTTTATGTGAAAAGCACTTGTATAGAGTATTCTTGCTAATGTTTAAGCAGTCTTAGATTGTAATATCCCATAATGAGAAGAACAGTTATGAAGCAAACTGATGCTCCCAGTATTCGGAAAATATCCCAGCATCCAGTATTTGGAAAAGAATAAAATTACAAAGGATATGATCTCACTCTCTATATATAAATGAGTGTCGTTATCGAAACCCGGCTAAGAGGTAATGTATTACAGCCGCTCACTTCACGCAATTTTTTTCCAGTTTTTTTTGAAAAATGGATTATGTTATAATCTGGACAATAAAGCCTTGAGTATTAAAATGATTTCTTAATCTTGCTGCCCATGCTATGAATGCTGGAGCCAAATGCAGTATTGAAAACCTTGTAGAATGATAATTCAAAACTGCATTGTTACGGCAGTAAGGAAGGCCTATACAGGATATTGTGGCCAAGGCTGTGTTCTCAAATAGGATAATTAAAATCCTGGAAATTAGACTATACATATATATATATACTAAGATGGGCTATATAGAGATATAGAGTGGGTATAAGAAAGTTTCTGTTTACTCATTTCAACAGGTAAAGGAAACCTCGAATCAACTGCTGATCACTTTATTTGCCAACACTTTTTTCTTGGTGGCTGCAACTTTCCGGGCCATATGGTCCTAAAAAGAGCCTCGAAGATACATAGACGTGGACACAAAACCCCTCGTAGAAAACCTAATTGCACAGCGTTTTCCTGGTCAATTTTTGCATCAAAAAAGATATCTAGCTAGAATGAATTGTCTATACAAACCTAAGACAGGTACATCAGAGAGAGACATATTCAGTTACCAAGAGAGATCGTCGCAAGAAGGCCAAGCTGTTATCACGCTTGTGCTATACAAAACAACTGGTTTATGTTACATAAATGTGCGCAGAATGGTCAATAGATTTCCGATTGTTTATCTATCGATTTACTTTCCCGATATCTCATTTGCTTATGGTCAACTGTAGTATGGCTCTATGTATGATGCATAGGTATTGTCATCCTTTTGTCGTAATGATTAATTTTTTTATGTTTTTTGGGCTTCCCAAAGTAGGGATATCATTTTTCACGATTTGAGGACTTCGACCTTCTATAAAATTTAAGAAAAACTCAGTTATGCTAAAAACCTAAATAATATACGACAAAGCGAGAACGATTGAGACCAAGTTGGTTTCGCACCCGATTAGGTTTTACATCTTTTATGAACATGGACAAATATACTTTGTATGCAAATGAACAACATCATTATCCAATTTAAGCAATCTCTAACAATCAACAATGTTTACTCGATTTAGTTGAATAAAATTACCTTGCTTTTAGCGTACGTGTTTTGCGAGCTCTTCATGGTAAAACGATGCATACGGCAGCTCGCTTAAATGAAATTTTAATTTATTGTCCTTACAGGCCCAGTGACAGCTTCTTGCAGACCCAAAGTAATGTACCCACTTGCTGCTCGGAACTACAGCGGTAAAAAGTTTTTAATGATTTAGAGTGATTCTGCTTGTAGCATGATCCGTACCTGTCAGTTTTTTGCGAGGAAAGGATTCGCCCAGAGCATTGTTTGTTTTTCTTTCAGATGAAATATATGAAAAGCCAAAAGTTATAAAATGTTTGTTCAGAGACTCTATTGAGTACATGATAAGATATGGAAGACTTAACTTATGTAATTTCAATACATTGCGCTGTCTTAAATACGAAGCCACCACTGGTCCTGTTAACACCGGATTATTAGGAAAGTCAAGTTACCTATAAAACGAATTCTATCGAAAAAGCCTGGCTTTACAAAGAAACCACAAGATAGAGCTAGCGGTTTTACTGACATTGATTGGGAAGCTGTGCAAACGTCGTCTGGGCGCGAGAAGGATGAATTAGGTACTGATGTCATGTTAAGGAGGACACGTGTTGCTAATTGCCAGATTGCTAGTCAAGGGAAGAGTTCCTAAGATTAACGAAAGTTTAATCAACCTGAAGAGTTTTCGACGCACAGCCATTGTATTGAAACGTACATGTTAGCGGCAAACTAACTGGGAAGTCAAATCATAAATTCTTAACATACTAATTATTCGGAAAACGGCGTATGAAGTGTATATAAATACACTGGGCTAATATTTTAAGGCAGCAATTCTTATTAATTGCCCTGCTTATCCGTGGCAAGATGAAATCAACATAAAAAAATTAATATAATCGTACCTCGAATCCCCCCTGTTAGACTACGAATCCTTATTTAGTTTCTGAACACAGGTGGGGCTAGCAGATAAACTTTTCCAGCCTACTTGCGCAAAAGCGAACAGAAAAAAAATGGTAAACGGCATTTTAATTTTCATATCGAAATCTGGGCATTTACGCATACAAGTCGAAAAAAATATTTTGTTGGCCCGACTCATTAGACGGTTAACCTAGGTTGGTTGCGTAGGAGAGGGGTCCCATAGAGGTGTCACCATCGGCAGCCTTTTGACCTAAATAACATCATCAAGAAGGTTATTAAAGATTAACTTTAACGCTTCTACATGTGCTCTATAGTGTGCGTTCGAAAAATACGACCTGGATTAAGAGCAATCTGAAGTCTACGACAAGTACACCTTGTTGTTTCTCAACTCTGGTCTGTTTTTCTATAGGCAGCTATTCACGCGTACACTGCTCAGATAGCCGGCGTTGATAGCAGCGGCTGAAAATACCCTAAGGCGATGAGGGCTATATTCATTTTGAGACTGGGCAAGGTACATTGCCCTTACTGCACTGGACATGAAAGAATAGCTGGTGGATGAATCTTAATGAGGCTGATGGCTCACAGTGCCACTGCCCTCAAGGCATCACCGTGTCACGCATGAGATCGGTTTCCTTTCTTGAAAAGCGCATCAGGTACGCTCTGAGGTAGTGGCTAATGCGCCTATCTGATTACCTGCATATAGGATTTATCAACCGAACGTTTACCTATCAATGGCATCCTGAAAAAGTACGAAGCTCCTTCCAAACCAGCTTTTTGCGAGCTTAACTGAATCATTTCTACGGACCCGTCTCTACGCCTTCGCTTTAAGCCGGTGCCGAACTAAGGTCTTACGACCTTAGATGGGCACTCCAATTGTACATCTTTACATATTGTAAAAATGTATAATTTTCACTCATCTAAAAAGTGCTCAGCTATGCTCCGTCAGTGTAATCCGGCTAATTATTATACAACTCAGTAACGAATTCGTCTTTTGATCATCATGATCCATCTTTGTAAACACTCGAGTATGATTGTGGTTACGCTCATAACTAGGCGTCACTGAGCGAAACAGTTATTAGTGACAACATCTTGGTAATTACAAACATGTACTCTTTTATTAATGGTTTGTTTGTGCATAACATTCACCGGGTGTTGATTCCCGTATTTACTTTTGACGCCCTAGTTTCTTTCAAAAGGCACGTTCGCGGTCACTGCGAGTCTCTTGATTGAAAATATTGGCTAAGTTACTTTGCAATATGCCAACAACAAGTGTACGCATTCATCTCTGAAGCTTTCTGATTTTTGAGTTCAGATACCGGGGTCAGTAGTCAAGATGGTGATTACGTTTTGCATCTACCTGACACAATTTGTTCCAGTAAGCTGCGAGTGGCTCTTTTCGTGTTGCCATGAACCGTATCATTGAATACAACGGAGTACAGACTTTTAGAGTAAGATGTTCTGTTTGATTGCCAACGGCCAATAATGTCCAGAAGTATTTTTACATTCTCGGAAATGAATGTGTGCATGCAGAATTCAGCAAATTTTATCTCAGTGTGCAGATACGATCATGAAAACCTTGTTCCTAAATAGAAAGAAAGCCAGGCTCAATCGAAGTACTAAACTCTTTACGAGTAAACAGTGCCCACATATGCGCAAGACGTCGTATAGACACGTCGTGAACAGGTTTGTCTATATATTAGTATGTTGTGTAGCTGACGGGTGCGCTCTGTAGCCTACGTGCTTTAGCTATGCAAACACCTAACCTCACTGGCGTCCCTGTTAGCTTTATAAAAAGGTATATCCCTGTGGCTGTGCTTGATTGTGATGAAGGTGATTCACCTATTCATCCTCAGATACAATTACTGGCAGCTTTTGACGCTTAGGTCGCCGGCAAAGGAAGGTGATGTGTAGGCTGTCGCAGTTTTCATTTGTGCCTATAATTTATTGTTCTGTTAAGTTCTGAGGCTAAATTAAAATAGGCCAGCATAGCGTATGTACACTTACACACTTAGGGGAAGCGCAAATAAACTAGTTCGACATTAGCGGTTGTCCTGAATACGAAGCGATTATAATACTAGGTATGATATATGCTTTCAAGCAATTTAAATATCAACTTTTATCAAATGGTGTATGACTATATTACTGGTATTTGAGATGGTTTATTCGTTAATTTTGCACACTGAACAAATTACAAAGAAAAAGTAACCCGAAAAATAACCAGCTTCTTCGCGTCACAATGGCTTCTCTTGACCATTTAAGGACGAAACAAAACATTTTTGCTAAGAGCCATAGAGATGAGCATAGCAGACGCTAAAACAGCTGGCTGCCATTACTAGGCCATCAGCATTCATGTATTATATGATATGAGTTATCTCAAGTAAAATCCAGTTTAAAAAAAAGTATATAAAACTACTTACCGAAAAATAATTTTGATGATAGCTTTCGTCAAATGTGTTAACTAAAATCATATCAGAGTTATGGCTCGTATAAAGAACGTGTTCCAGCTATCGGTGACCTTTGACAATTTATTCACTTGTTGCCAGAAACATCCGTTATTTCGACGCCAATTTAGAAGCGATTAAAGCTATTTTAATATAAGAACTGCTTTTCAATGAGTGCAAATGCTTATAGCTGAATAATCGCAGTCCGCTGACAGATTTACAGCAACGGGCTATACGCTGTGAAAAGAAAGACAACAATTTTACAAAATTATAGTGTCATAATATGTAGATAAACTTTATTACAACCACCTTTTCTATTAATTCTGGCTAACTTTATAGCTAGTAGGTTCTTAAAATATATTTATTAACAAGCAGAGATCCTTTTGTTCTTTAATATGTCCATTCAAAATCACATCCCACAACGGTTTATGGATAATGTGTTATAAATGGCACATTGAAGCATAATTCAATGAATATTCCTTTTAAGTACAAACATTAGAAGTAAAAGTTCACTTCCTGCCATAGATTAATTGCAGCTAGCTAACCGGTTTGTCTCCTAACGCTTGGCGGCCGTTATTTGCATTGAAATTAACGTTGCGTTGTTATTAAAATTTATTTGCATCAGTTAATCGGCTGATTTCTCCTAATGCACGGCTAGTCTAAAAATACCACAGAAGCATTCCCGAGCGTTTCTATAGCACGCGAAAACGATTTTCCTATCAAGGCAAACTTAAGTTCAGGTTAACCACTAGTCCTTATTAAAGCAATTCTTTTTAAGGGTACTTCCGAGTTGAGCTCACAAAAAAGGTCCTAACTGTCCCATATAAAACGAGGACACAACTGTCCACACAAATACAGAATAAGTGGTAAAAACGATTTATCTCAGCACAAGAACTGGGGTGTGATTCCAATCGACGAGTACGAAAATAGCGATTTGTTACACACTGGTCACTTTCGTTCGTGGCCCTTGGGCTGTGGTTGTACCTTTGATTTGTCCCAAAGGCGCTGCGTGAACTGTATTTAAGATGAATGATACTGCTCGATGCTATGTCATGCTATTAAATTGTTCGGTGCCTTTTTCGGTGAGTCAAGACCGTCCTTTTATGTCTACGACTAGACATTTTTCATCGTTACTTTTTGCAGTAGTACCACACTCAACTAGTTGAAACCCACTTGCTACATTTTCAATGAGCGATTTTTCACTGCCAGCCGTTTTCGTATCACTTTCAAGTTTTTTCAGTATTTGCAAAGATTCGTCAGCTACGATTTTTGGGATTGGCTCAAACGCCGACATGTAACCATAGCAATCCTGATAATCGAAGCACTTTTGCGCGTAGCCTGGCAGAGTAAGGTCAACATGGAAGTACACCTTATTTGACCGGTGGTTTCTGCCACGATTTTTGCAAAAATTGTATCCAATAAATGAGTATAACAGAACGTTAGTGTTACGGTAGTGGACCACCTTTTGTACGCGGCCCCCGTACGGAGCAACCTTTTCTGCCATGAGCTTATCCAGTCGACAAAACGGCGTCGGCGTTCGAAGAATCATTCGTCGGTCTCTTTCCGTAATGTTGGGCTCTATAGCGACCTGACCGAAAAGCGCAGCTAAATCGTCAAATACATTTGATTGAACTTTAGGGTGAAGTGTCTTTTTCACGGTGAGTATAATATCGTCTGAGAGAATTCGTTTGCCCTCGGTACTATCGAGACAAATTAACGAATGATAAAAAATATCCTCGTCACTAGTAAGACCGTGCGACTTCACGTAACGGTCAACTTCGGCGACTGTTAAAAAAGAATTTTTTTTATATTTTGTGTTCTTGTATAGTCGAAAGTTTCGATTCCTCGAGTAAACAGACATATCGCAAAAGAATATCTTTTTCTCATTTTCTGTATTAACAAAAAAAATTCGGGATTGTTCGGATGCCATAATAAAATCTACAAACAGCTTGCAAACCTGGTTGTTTCTAAAACATATCTCATCGACATTTACGATAAGATGTGCACTGTATTTTCTATCTGAATCTGATTTTAGTATGAGAACGTCTTCGTATGCGACATTGATTCCGGTGAGTGACGTAATCTGCGCACAAACAAAGTCAACGAACTTCACCGTTAGACTATCTCCGTTAACGTCCGGGTTGAGGAGTTTATTAAATTCCAGATCGAAGTAAAGCTTACATGCCGCTTCTTCCCGTACCATTTCATAATACCTTTTAGTAACACAAGAGGTGTTAACCGAATTAGCGTAGAAAAAAAAAACGGAAAAAATAGAGAAGTCTTAGTAAAGTACGCAATAGACGGGGCCGTTTCATACTAAAACTACTATGGTGCATAAAAAAAGATTAGGATATGCTGTATTGTGAACAGTGCACTCAATTTTTTATTAGATTTATTAATAAATTACTAAATATAAACAAATACTAAGCCTCACACACCTGCGTTGTTCTGGAACACGCTCCATCATTAGCTTAAAGAGTGCCTTCCACTGCGCGACCAAAAAAGCTCGACAGCCAGAAAATTTCGGATTGGTCCACCGTAGTTCAAATGAATAGACACCTTCTCCACGTTGCTTCCTAGACTGGAACAAAGCTATTGCTTTTTCCTGCTTCTTACAGCGAAGAACAGCCCGTAAATCTTCCTCCATTTTCGTTCGAACGAAGCACCGCGCCTAATCCGTTACTTATTTCTCGAATTGTGTCATTCTATAAGTAAACAACATGGCCTAACGTTAGTTCGATTCGGCCAGCTTTTGCCGAAGCAGCCAATGTGTCAACAACTCTACGTTCTTAGGGAAAGCTTCCACAGAGTTACGCGTGTCTCTATAGGCTTTAGTAAGGCCGTTCGGAACACTTCACCTGCATGGTGATACGTTGCTATTGGTAGAGCTTAAATCGGCCTGTTAAAAAAATATCAAACTGAGGCTTTTTTCGTTTAAGCCTGCATTCATATCAAACATGTAGGTCGACATAAAAAGGATGTAAAATTTTTACCAACTCAAACCACGTTATAAAAAAGAAAGGAGGGTTGTTAAGGAAAATAACATATACGAACAATGAATACAGACCGTTTCTGTATAAGTTTATAATATCCAAATGGATAAGGCATTCGTCATGTGATTGCATTGCAATAAAGAGGCAGCAATTTTGTCCGCGTGTATAAAACCCAGAATCGCTTGTATCGTATACTTACTGTTTTTTGTCGGAAATTCGTTAGGCCTGTTACTGCATAAGTACGTATCACGACAAATTTACTTTGAACTCACTGTAGTAGTAGTAATTTGTAACTATACACAACGATTGTCAGCAAAGGAGCACCAGTCTGATGTTCGAAAATGCCAGAAGCCTTCACTTCGTAAACCGCCACAGCTTCTACGCGCGCCAATTCAGAAACCTTCCAATCAGCTGAGGGATGGGAAAGGACGCCTAAACCACGCTAAGACAGCGGGCTGGTTTTAGGATGCAATCAAAGGCCCTCCAATCTGTAAAATTAATATTATAAAAATAATTGTAATAGTAAGTAGGTAGTTTCTATAAAAGTATATAATGTGGTAAGAATAAAATAATATTATATGGTAAAAACACTGTTGAATTTGGTGCAGAAATACCCAGTGGTTGGCCAATTTTGAAAATGCGAAAGTATTTAAACGTGCGATTGTATCGTTTAACATTCAAAACTGTTAAATGTAGAAAATGGGCAAACTTTGCTACAGAACCTGACATATTCTGCTCGAATCGCAATATGTTCAAAGGCACCCCATGACAAACTGTGTAATGAACAGTCCTACGGCTTCAAACAAAAGCCGTATCAAATACAAGCCTATCTTCCAAGCAAATAGTACAGCTCGAGCGACCGTGGAAAACCAAGGGCCTAAAATGGGCTTATTTGTATGTAATCATTCATCCCTGTCGTTTAGAGGCACGAAAAATTACGAGTGACTGTAGCCCATATTTCAGGTACCTCTTCTCATAGTGTTACAATATTGTCCAAATACGTCTCACTAGAACTTGGCAAAATTACAAAAAGCAAAAGAAAAGAAAAAATATAAACGGTAATGACTCGTCAGCAAACACATATATATTATTGCGTAAATCATACTGACAACAGATGTGAAGGATGCATAAGATTATCCCTTGGCATAGGCACAAGTCTCACTTTTATGATGTGCAAGCAGTATTGAGAGGAAAATCCCATTCAGTAGACCGGGGAGTGGTTCAACCAGCCGACCTCGGGTCTACATTGTACCGAATACATGAGCAATCTGCCGTCAAGCGATTACGATGACGTGGTAAGGCTGATGACTTCTCAAAGCCTACAAGTGGGGTCCATCCGTGCACAGGTAACTGGCCGCTTTTAGTGCTCACTTCGACCGCCAGAGAGAGTTCAATGCACTCAACGCATAGGGTAGATATACGCCTGACGCTCTATGGTGTATAGCTAGGTGTTCGCGCTAGTACGATCATACAAAATATATCTGCTTAAGCCAAGCTTACTTCTTCTTTCCGTCAAGGTTATTAGTTGTCACCTTCGACAAATGCCATAACAACCAGTGTAGAAGAAAGAACACTGACCAGCGGAACAGGTTGGTGCAGTAGCAGCAAAAATAGAGCACACAGACGTCGGCCACTCCTGTTTTGATCGCAGACCTTCTTCCTTGTTCAGATGGCGACGACGAAAAACATCAAAAGAACAAAGCTGGTGGACATCTGAATCGGAAATTCATCTGAAGGCCTGTACAGTCGATTGTGATATCGAACTGCCTAGGCTTGTCTGTAATATTTTATAATTCACCTGTCACCGCTCGATTCAGAGTTTGAAAATAGGGACTAAGAACGTCGGAAGAAAAGTAATCGTCTGTTTTATGGCTGAGGTCGTTATCGCTGCTGTCTTTTCAGCTTTGGCTTATTTGACCATCGTAAACCAGCCAAATCTGCGTGAGTGGCAGTTCAGTGTGTTGGTAATTGGTCTAGCCTTTGAACTCTGCTTTGAAAAGTATTCAATGAGTCATGTCAGCAGTAGTTGAGCAAAAGCCCACTGTTACATCAAATGTTAGGCTTACAATACATTACGACATAATTCTACAAATGGAAAAAGAATAGCCATAATTTAAACGTTTTTTTATGTCACTGCTAAGTGTACGTAAGCGGATTGTCAGCTCATTTTTTCTTAACTGCATACGTGTACTCTGTTTAGCTGTACAAATATTTTTGTGTTGATAAAACCAACCACTGTAAAAATTTGAGCTCCATCAGGGTCCCATACGACAACACAACTTGAACGAATGGTGACAAATTTCTCGTATCGTCTGGGCTACGACTGGAATCTGTTTGGCATGATGACGACAGGGGTATAGGATAGGTGCGTACAAATCATGCTAACAAATTATTTTAGGTTGCTATTTGCCAGCTCGTAGCGGCTATGCCTTCATTCTATCTGCACCAGCAGATATGCTGATATATGAAGGTATTTTTCAAAACCGCAAATGGAGGTTGCGCGCCGACTGCTTGGATTTAAGTGTATTACTTTATGACTGGAAAAAAACTCTCTCGAAGGTTACCGATGTGTTATAACTTATTGCTATGGCTCACGCGTGATTAAGAACCATTTATGTTTCGTGATCTACCTGTTTCGTTAAACTGACAGAATAATCAAGACGTCGCCCTATCGTGCTCATAAGAATAATTGTCTATTTGGAATTACCCGCAGTTTATTTTGACGCCATTTGCTTACCTCATTCGACGATCATTGCGCGCAGTTGTCATTTCTAAATACACAGATTTGGTTTCTTTTATATAATATACTTAATAATATAAATAATTTTACCTATTAATTCACAAGTACTAGCCCTGGAACGGGGCAATGCGCTAGATCCTAGTATTCGCAGGAATTGAAAGTCGTCATCGAACAAAGACTGTCACTTCGAAACTGTCTCGAGCTACGAGATGCCCTCAATGTCAGCGTTCTTCTAGGTGAATAGAGACAGGCCCAGATACGCGCTAAGAGGTCGGTGGCTAACGGTGATAACACAATGTGTCGAACATCAGAATGACTCCTACGAAAAGCCTTTAACTAGGTACGCGTAACAGCGTCGGCTATATTTAAAAACCTAACTATAATGTATAGAGGATCTTTGATTTGGCCATTGTCACTTGAGCAGGTAGGCTAGCTAGCGACTGGGATTACAAGCAGCTAAAGTGAACGCATTAGGCTGGATTAAGTTGCGATGCATATTTATTTGCAGTTCCTAATAAGAAAAGTTTTAACCATTTATTTCCAGGATAACTTAAATCGTGTATAGACATATCACTTTATCACTATCAGCTGGTGCCGTCTAGTGCGGCCTTTAAATGCTATCGTCCTCTTTGGCAACGTTCAGATAAACGGTAAAGAGAGTCAACAATTCTAAACCGACGAATCGACATAAATTGGGGTCTACATTAGATAAAAACGTAAAATGTATTTAGTTCAGGCAGTACAATTCTCTTTTTGGTGTGGTAGCACTGAACGTATATTAGTTGTGCTTCTATTCTTAAAACATACTTCGTAACGGTTAATGGTAGAGGAGTAGAAATGCACTTAAGTATTAAAGCTGTTAGCTAAGCGTAATATAAAAAAAAAAAGTTATACGCGATTTTTATGAACGAAATAAGTGTATGTATATGATTTAGTTGCTCAAACAGTTACTTTGCTTGGACGGCTGCGAAAGACCAAAAATTGTTGACTTGTGCTGCGCCGAGATCGCGTAAAATACAAAACAAAATAAAAAAGTGTTCGTAACCTACCTTAATTCAAACGACTTGGGGCTGCACCCCTCAGACTCCATAATTATGCTATATGCCACCGCATTCCCTGTCCATTTATCAAATTGTAAACACTGATAGCTCGAATGTGCATCCAGCAGCAGAATGTTTCATATCATTACACTAATGCAGAGTCTACTAACGTGTACAAAAACCGTACGGTCAGTGTATGACCAGCTATCTTAAAATGTGGAGATAAGAAGGGTTTTGCCTCAGGCAAGGCAAGCAGGTCATTGGCTTGCCCCAATCACATAAGCGTTTATTTTTTTTTGCACTGCGCTCAAGCACATACCGGACAGCGTAAACATCCAATGTAAGCCTCAAGATTCGTGGAAGTCTGCAGATCGGCGATCACGTCTGAAAGGAGCATTGATTTGGCCCTCTTAGTCCTTCTATGCAGGACGTGTCTTAAAAATATGTGTCTAGTTGATCCAATCCAGTGATGGGCCCAGAGGCTGTACAGCAAGCTCAGGTAGCTTGGCAAACAACAATTTTGCGTAGCAGTTTCTTAAAAGGTGGCTAAGTGCTTTGGTAGTGCCAACCAGCGGCAAGAAGTGCGCTCGTTTTGCCGTATTAGTATACTAAAACTTTATTGTACAAACATATGCAAATGATATTGTTAAATTATAAAAAAAAGTAAATAAAGTAGGCAATTTTGCGTTGTGGAAACACAACATGCACTTAATAGCTTTCGCATACTGATAGGTTTGATTGAAAAACCCGGAAGATATCGATTGACGCCTATAATGTGTTAACTGGGCATAACGTTAGTGATAAGCGTGAGCACGTTAATGAAGCCGATGTAAACACAGTTTGAGAGTGATGAGAATTCACGCTGACGCGAACACCCAGGACCTTCTTTAGAAATACGCGACAAGACTACCGTGCGACAACTACGTACTGCGCGTATTAGTTACCTTCTGTGAAGGGAATAAACCCCCATGTCCAATGTTTGTTAATACGTGTTCAGTGTTCTTATCATCTCGCTTAATCAAGCTAGAGATGGTCTACAAACAAATCTGGGTTTAAATATATTTCCGGTGTTCTCTAAATTTGCGTCTTTGCAATTGTATATTAACTTAAGAATCCTAGGGTTAAATTTGTTTGTTTAGAAATTTGTACAACGTTGTTGCAATGAAAGCACTGTTTGCAGAAGACAAACGCCTTATTGCATAACACGCATGGATGTATCCGCGTGCAATCCTATAGATCTAAAGAACTGAGGTCCTTTCAGCTATAGTATTAATGTAACGACAGTCAACCATTTTAGACAAAGCAGATGGGTGCGCTTGTATACATCTCATGCGGATACATACTTGACCGAGAACATTGAAAAGTAGACCCTTGTTTGCAATAAAGTCAGCTACCCTTTCGCTCTAGGAATGAACACCATTTCTTTCTTCGAATTGACAACGATTTTAAGTTTTAGAATAAGCTCTGGCCAGTCCTCTTACTGATAGTTTTATCCCCCCATTATATTAAGTGGGGCTATCTTGTTGACATCCTGTAGGCGCAATAAGGTGTTTGTACAATGAGCGAATTAATCGGTAACCCGATTGCTTCCTGTACACGTTAACGGCATGGACCGTTATAATGCCTCTACACTAGCTATCAAGGGAAGGCTTTTCGTAGAATATAGGTAAATCATCGTTAAAGTTAAAATGGCAGGAAAGGGGTTAGGGTAGTGTTTACGTAAGAGGCTGTCTTAAGATTTGCTTAAGTAATCGGAAGCGGATAAATTTAAAAATTGTCGTAAACAAAAACGGGTTAGCATTATATATACATGGATTAGGTTGGGTAAAAGATAGGCTATTCTAGACACAATGTTTAATTGTTAGATAATGGGCATTTTGGAGACTCCAGCATCGTTGTGCTTTTATAGCAGCTTTGTTTTGTTGGGCCTTGTTAGCGTGCCAAATATGCAATGAGGCGTTCTGAGCTCACGCAAAAACGACTCATAAACGACTATTTACAGTATCTGATAAATAGGCACGCCAGACCGGTTGCAAAGATCCCTGTCGAGAGGAGACCTTTTTTGTGTCACATGGCGATTTACTTAGCGCGTAGTTTATAACAATTTTTTTTATATCTGTTGGATATATTATTATGAGCCTTAATATCTGTTTAAAATAAAAGTAAACTATGACTGACTCTCTTACTGTTAGTCTAGGATGCTTCCATTTCTAATGAAAGAGAATAGTGTGCGCTTTTTCTGCATCAAAGAGTGCGTATAATTTGTATGCTCTATAGATCCAATGCTGCTAAAGGTATGAGGATAACCGAAATCACTACCGAGTCTGTTTAGCTCCATTAAATAAACAACCAAAATCACATACCCATTGGTAGTGCAGTTTCGTAAAGCAAACCCATAGGGTATATTTACGATTCAATTCCATTGAGAAATCTTAGCGGGGAACAATTCAGGTTATGTAACCCAGTTAATGTAAGATGAAATATTGTGGTAACCTTTTATTAGAGAAAAGATGTTGGTGCCACGGTACTTTTACTGTCCCTTGCATGTTTTACCAGCATCTGTTCAATAGTATTGCTATTGTACTTAAGTAGTTAATCTTATACTTAAAGACAGCCAATTGAGGACTATCATCGAGAAAAGGGATATTATAAAATGTACCTCAGTTCGCTTCGAGGATTTCCCTGC